CGTGCACCCCCGATTACCATGAAGTCGGGCCTGTCCCTCTACAGGAGGGATATTCAAAAATAGTTTAAAAAATAGTCTGAGGACGATGTTTTGACTATTTTGGATCTTTTTGGGCTATTTTGAAAGAATTTATAGTTCTTTGCCCAAACTCCCCTTGTAGGGGCGGGACATGCCTGACCTAAGATTACCACTCGCCCGATGGGGGTCGGCGGGGCCTCGCCCGAAAACAGGCAAAGGGAGGCGCAGGTCAGCGCGCGCGCGCGCGGCGTGGCTCCTCGTCGCGGGTGCCTGCACGCGGCGCCAGGGCGGAGGCGTCGTGGGCGCGCGTGCACACGGGGCGGGAGGCGGGGGCGAAGCGTTCTGGCGTGCCTATAGGCCTACCAAAGAATGCTGTAAGAACCTTTCGTGGTCTGCACGAAATGTTCTTGGACAAATTCTGGCTGGGGCTGCTTTGAAACAGCACATCGGGCTTATGTTCTGAGAGCACTGCTTTTGTTCTCAGAACATAACTGGGTTCTAAGAACACGTCGTGGTAGGCCTCTGGGCATGCCGGGACGGCCGGTCCCTGCTCCACACGGAATGGTAGGCCAGGGCCGGCCGTCTCGATTTCGGGCAGGGCTCATTTCGATCCCTCCGATCCGATATCCGGTTCGATGTCGCTGGCTTCCGATCCCGGATTCCGATCCGGCTTCGGATGCCGAGTTGCGCTCCGATGTCTCGAGAGGGAGGCCTACCAGCCGCCGCTCTCCGCCGTGTCGTTTTGCCCCCGATGCGGCCGCCGACGTCCCGCCGAGCCGAGGCGCTTCGACTGCAGAGCCGACGTCTCGATGCGATCCTGGGCGCACGGGGCGGGAGGCCAGGGCGCTGGCCGTCTCGACCTCGCGGCGTTACAGGTCGGGCAGGGCCCTCTACGGGGGGAATAGTCAAAAATAGTCGTCAAGAAGCAGCCTGGGGGCGATGCTTCTATTATCTTCCAACTACTTCCGAGTACGCTCTGATTGTTTCAAGTTGTTCTTCCAAAATCCGCTTGCATCACCGAGCGCCTTCCGCTACTCGCAAAGTGCCTGCTCGCAAACCTCATAAAACAAACCAGGCGGCGGATCCAGACCATTTGCGAGTAGTTACTTTGCGAGTAGTGGAACGCGCTTGTCCACTGTAGGAGGACATGCCCGACCTGATCGTGGTGGCGTGGAGGTGCGCCTTGGGGGGGGTCAATGGGGGCGGGTTTTCTTTCGGGGAAACGTGGGACTCGAGCACGCTGGACCTCGTCCTCCTCCTCCTCCTCCTCCTCCTCCTCCTCCTCCTCCTCGTCCTCGTCCTCGTCCTCGTCCTCTTCCTCCTCGTACGCGGAAACGTTTGCCGACGCTTTTTGACGAGCGCGTCCTGGATTTCGACGGTCCAGCTGGTCGTGGATGTCTGCAGCGGGAGCTCGCGTCAGATTTCAGAGTGGGCCTCGTCATTTTTTCTGGATGCCCCGTCAGGCCCACCCGATTCCCCCGTACCCTAGGTCTTACGTCTCCGCGATTCTCAGAAGGCTCACACGACGGCTGGCCTTCCGAGGAGTGTTCGAAGCCTTCTCCGAGGACAGAACCAAAGCAGAGAAAACGGCATGAAACGTGAATTGTGGGAGCTCCCCGCGGAGGTCGTGGATCTGCGCGGGGCCCCCCTGGCGGCGCCTCCGGCGCCGCCCCTGGCGCGCTCTGCCCGCCAGGGAAGGGGGGGTCGGCGCAGAGCCAAGACACTCGCGCGGACCTCCAGGAGTTGGCGTTCACGCAGCTCCGTGCCCATCGCAAGCCCCCGAGGCCTGGGGCGCCCTGCCGGCAGGAGCCAGGGAGTCTGGAAGGCCCCGCCGCCGTCCGAGAAGGCCTCCTCACGGACCCCCTGGGAGCTCGCCGCCACCGGCGACGAGGAGGTGCCCGGACCCCGCAGCTCCCCCTTCCCTCGGCATCGCTCGGACATGTGTTTTTTTTCTTCGGCGGGGATCATCGAGGAGCATCCTCGATCATGCGGCGAAAAAACCACGCACGAAACCGAGAAAAAAACACAGGGAATGGACGTCCGAGCGATGGCGAGTTCCGCGCGCCCCCGTGGCGCGCTCCGCGCGCTGGGGGGGGGGGGAAGCTGCGGGGGCGGGAGGGCGGCGGCCGGGCGCCGACCGGAGGAAGTCCGGCGGAGCAGCGTCGCAGACGTGGTCGTGTTGCTCTGGGGTCCGGGGGCGCCAGTCGGAGAAGACAAAAACTGTATAAACATAAACTTTCGGCGCTCCGCGCGGATTTCTTGGATCCGTGCTGGCCCCCCCGGCGGCGCCTCCGGCGCCGTGGCGCGCTCCGCGCGCCAGAGAGGGAGATCCAGCGCCGATCCGTGAAATCTGCGCGGAGCGCCGAAAGTTTTACGCTTATGAAGTTTGTTTGTTCGTTCTTCTAGTCAGCAGCGGCGGCCTAAGAAGGCCCGGCGCCCGAGGCATCCTCAAAAGCCGCCAGAATTGAGAGGTTGTCCGATTTATAGGCTTACGACACATCCGCCGACCAACTCTTGTAAAACTACGGCGCATCCAGGGCCTTGTCATTCCACGAGCCAACCTCTCGGGCCAGGATTCCGCAGCCAGGGCGGGGAAAGTAGCAAGAATGCGTCAAGCAGGGTATGTGTGGCACGCCATGATCGTTGGGATCTCGTGGTTGCAGGATTGCTCGCGGGCATATTCGAGGGCAGTTCGATAGGTCTTGGGGGACGCTCTTTGGGGCATTCGTATACAATTCTTGGGGACCGCTTGGGGGACTTTGGTTGGACAATGTGTGGACTGTGCGAGAGAGCGGTAGCGTTAGAAATTCGCGGTTCGTGGTCCCTTCTCTTTGGGCCCTTTTTTCTTTCTTTCTTTTTGTTCCTGTTCTGGTCCTGTTCTTCGTTTTTTTCTTTTTGACTTTTTTCTTTTTCCTTTCTTTGTTTTTTTTTTTTCTTTTATGCTTTTTTTTTTTTTTTTTTTTTTTTTTTGTTTTTTTTTTTTTTTTTTTGTTTTTTTGCTTGGGCCGTCTGGAGAGCTCCTTTTTTTTTCTTTTTTTTTTTCTTCTTCCCGTCTAGGGCGCCTCGTGGGCCACGTTGGAGTTCTTTTGGGTTGTTTTTAGTGCCTCCTTGGAACCTCGTGGGCCGTCTTGGATGGTCCTAGGGGCCTCGTGGGGGCCTCGTGGACGGTTTTCCACGCCGTGATGGCTAACAAGTTGGATATGCTGAGAATGCACGGTTTCCCCAAGATTTTGGTTTCTTGGGGGTTTCTTGGGAGGCCTCTTGGAGGCTTCGTGGGGTGTCTTGGCTGCATCTTGGGCCGGTTTGAGCTCACCTTGGGCGTCTTGGAACGATCTTTCGGCGACTTTGGGTTCTCGTGGACCGTCTTGGCGGCTTCTTGGGAGGCGTCAATTGCTGTCGTGCAGCTCAAGACCGAACCCAGGGAGCCCAGACCGCTCCGGGTGAGTTCGGTCCGGGGCCACCCCGGGCGGGGGGGGTGTCAAAATCCCGGTTTGGGGCCCCTGGGGGGGGGGGGATTCTGGGGGGGGAACAGTCTCACACGCCTGGAGAGCCACGAGGGGTCGGCGGATTTATCCTCCCCGATTTTGTCCTCGTGCTGGCTCTTCGTCTTACCCCCGCCCCTCGCCCGCCCGTGCCTCAATTCGCAGCGCATGAGTCCCGCCGATGGCTTGACCGCGTGTCACAGCCGTGCTCGCGCGGAGCAGCGTCGCAGGACTGCGCGAGTTGCACTGGGGTGCGGGGGCGCCAGCAGCCAGTGTCTGAGCTCGAGGTGGAGGATCGGCGGCGAGCGAAGGGGGGGGGGGAAGGAGAAGGAGGAGGCCTTCTCTAGAAGGCGGCGGGGCTTTCGCAGAAGCCCTCCGGCCTTCTGAGGAAGTGTTTTTGTGTCTTCGGGGATGCCCTGATCCTTGGATACTGGATGTTGACGGTCGCGACCGAGGAAAAACGGTCGCTGCCGATGTTTCTTGAGACTTCGGTGGTATCGGTCGCGACCGATTTGCTTCAAACTCGGTCGCGACTAACTCGGAGTGCCGATCGCTCGTTATGCAATGCTCCGGGTGGCTCAGACGGCTTCGCAGCAGGACGGGGGGCGTCCGAGCCCTCTGAGAGGGCCTGCCCCCTCGCAGCTTCCCCCCCCCCCGGGCGCGCCGCCACGAGGAGCCGGCAGCACACGAGGCCACGATCGCGCCACGGCTGATGGGCCCATTTCCCACCACCACCACCAGATGCAGGAGGGGGAGGAGGAGGAGGAGGGGGAGGGAGGAGGGGGAGGAGGAGGGGAGGAGGAGCATAGAGGAGGAGGAGGAGGAGGAGGAGGAGGAGGAGGAGGAGGAGGAGGACCTCCCCTCCCCATCCTTCTCCCCCGTCCTACCTATGGTAGTGGTGGTGGAAGATTGGCCCATCAACATCAGTGGTGGTTGCTTTCGGCGCTTCTCCGGGCAGACAAGATCGCCACCCGCCCGCATGCGTCGACACGCTGCCTGGCGTCCGCCCTCCTGCTCCTCCTCCTCCACCTCCTCCTCCTCCCCCTGCTCCTCTGCTCCCTCCTCAGCTATCCGCAGCAGGGCCCCTGGGAGCGCCTCCAGGGGCGCGAGAGTTCTCGGCACGGGTGAGGCGTTCTGCAAGACCCCCTCGTCCCATGCCGCGTGGCGAGTCGGTGGGGGATCGGGGTCACTGCGCGGCTTTGGGACTGGGGTCGTTCTCTCCCAGGGAGAGAGAGCCTCGGGCGATCGGGGCCTCCGAGGTCCCAGGGCCGTGCGGTGACGGGCCGCGCGGTGAGGCCCTTCGGGCATGCCGAGGGCACCACGCGGTCCGTCACCACACGTCCCCGGGGACCCAGAACCACACGCCCCGACGCACAAACAAAAAAACAAGGCGTAGAGTTGGCTCCAGGCCCAACCTCGGCAGCAGCCTCTCGAGCCTCGCCGAGCGCCGGCCCGCGCCCGCGTGCCCGCGCCGGGGGACACCCGCGGCGGCCCCGAAGGATGCAGGTGCAGGCGCAGGTGCCCCTCGGCGTGCGGCCAGGCCAGACGTTCACGCTGCAGACCTCGCACGGCCTCGTGCCGGTGGTGGTGCTCGAAGACGAAGAAGAAGAAGAAGAAGAAGAAGACGAAGAAGAAGAAGAAGAAGAAGAAGGAGGAGGAGAAGAAGAAGGAGGAGGAGGAGGAGCAGAAGAAGAAGGAGAATAGTGAGGAAAAGCACAAGAAACAAAACACACAAAAGACGCAGTACATTAAAGTATTGGCGTTCCGCGCGGATTTCTTGGATCCAAACTGGGCCCCCCCCCCAGCGGCGCATCTGGCGCCACCCCTGGCGCGCTCCGCGCGCCAGGGAGGGGGGCCCAGCGCAGATCCAAGAATTCCGCGCGGAGCGCCAAAAGTTTATGCTCATGCCGTTTTTCTTCTTCCAGGTGCCTCCCGGCGCTTCCCCCGGGCAGCAGGTGGTCTTCACGGTGCCCGCGCACCCCGCCGCTGTCGTGGGCAACCCAGTGGTGCACGGCAGCGTGGCGGGCTCGGCGCCGCCGCCGCAGCTGGGGATGGCCGAGGCGGGCGGCGGTGCATCCGCGCCCAAGGGCTACCGCGCGGATCCGCTGACCGCCACGGCGGACGGGCTGCCCCTGCTGGTGGGCATCCCCGTGGAGAAGCAGGAGCAGAAGCTGAGCGAGATCCGCCGCGGTGGCGAGCTCGTGCGGGATAATGCGCCGTTTCCCGCGCGGCGCACGTACCGCGACGCGGTCTGGGGCGTCCTCTTCGTGGCCTTGGCCATGGCCATGACCGTCGGAGCGGTGTATTTCGGCAGGTCTCTTCCGCGATGCACAGGTGGACCGGTCGAGCGAGGACGCTGAGTGGAAGCGAATCGCCAACACCGTGTACGCCGGCTGGCGGTCGAGTGGCTCGCTCGGGGCAGGACATGGCGTACGTGAGGGCTGGCGAGCACGCACCCGCCGTGCATCGTTGCGACCGTTCTCTGTTGTTCAGTCGGTGTTGATGATCGTGAGGCGGCTGGGTTCTTAGTTGGCGGTATCGGCGGTTGGGGCCTCATTTTCTAGTCATTCTGGGCAGCTGTGCCTCAATTGCTTCTTCTTCTGCTAACCGCCGCTGATCCGTTATGGATAAAGATTCGTGGAGGTGGTGTCCATTTGTTGATCCGAAATTACCCCTGCGTCATGGCCGTGTCCCTGATAGGACTGTTGCTGGCACGTTCTGGACTGCATTCTGCATGATCAGTCAAGGTGGCATACTTGGGGGGGAAGCGGTTTCCAAGAACGAGGCGGAGGACTTAACTTCCACGGCGCAGTACGTCCTGTACTTCTTCGCAGTCCTGATCTTCATCGTTGGCGGGCAGGTCGCGTACTACGTCTGTCACGTGACGTATTGTGGCGTGTTCGGTCGTTGGTACTTCGGGGTGGACAGGGAGGGCGGCGTGCTGGGGAGGAGCCTGAGTGTGGCCCTGACCACTTCCTTCGGCAGCATCTGCTGCGGGTCCTTCCTCATTGCTGCGGTCCGGGCCCTCGAGGCGGTCCTCCGGAAGGGCAGGTCGGACGCGCAGGACTCCGGCAACGTGGTCTGCTGCGTCGTCCTCTGCTTGCTGGAGTGCGTCATCTCGTGCATCGGGGACCTCCTCGAGTACTTCAGCGAGTGGGCGTACGTGCAGGCCGCCGTGCGCGGCACCTCGTTCGTCGAGTCCGCGCGCATCACCCACAGCCTGATGACGTGCGCGAACCTGCTGTACGTGGTGCAGGACCTCCTCGTCAACGCCGTGGTCAACCTCGGGGCGGTGCTCTGCGGCCTCGTCGGGGGCGGCGTGGGGGCCGCCGTGGGCTTCGCCGCCTCCGGGGCGGACGCCGCGCTGTCGGGCGGCATCGCGGGCCTCCTGGCGGGCCTGCTGGCGGGCGGCGCCGCCGCGGGCATCATCTCCTCCGGGACGAAGGCCATCCTGGTGCTGTGGGCCGAGAACCCCGCCCCGCTGGAGGCGTCGCACCCGGACGCCCACCGGGAGCTCGAGGCCAGGATCTACGGCAAGCTGGGCCAGTAGGCGCCCGCGCCGCGCAGGCCTCGGCGCACGGTCGCGTTTGCTCGAGCGAATTGGGCATGCTCCAGAAGAGAGCGCCCCGGCCAGAAGGGCAGGGGGCAGGGCAACACATGCCGAGGGGGTTACCGCATCTGCTTGGGCGCCAGCGCCGTCCTTGTGACCCTGGCATTGGCCTTCTTCGGTGGCTTTACAGTTCCTCCACCGCCGCAGTCGGCTTCTGCGGCGCGGCTCGGGTCTACAGCGGCCGCGCAGCCCCCAGCAACAGGACGGGAGTGGCGCGGCCGTCCGCGCCGCCTCCTTGGTATCATTACGCGCTGCCACGGGTAGCAGGCAGGGGCCCTTCCCGGGCGGAAGACGCAGCAGTCGGATGTGCCATGCAGGATGGCCCGCCTGATCGCCTGCCAAACAAAAAACAAACAAACAAACAACAACAACAACAACAACCACAACAACAACAAAAAAAGACGGAGTTGGTTCGCAAAGCCCGACCTCCTGGAGCCGCCCTGGGGCCCCAGAGTCATCAAACAACGATCAGGGACGGAAAAGCGGCCCTGCGGAAGGGGTCGAGAGCTGCGAGGCCCAGGGGGGGTGCAAGAGGAACTCAGAAGGCACCAGACAGCCGGCCAGGGGCTGGGAAGGTTCGAGCTCGAGCGTTGCGAAAGCAGAGCTGGTCTTCGCGTCTCCTGCCCCGACTCCTCCCACGACCGCCTGGCGAGAGGCCAGGCCGAGAGCCCGGGAGCCCCGCGATTTGGAAAGGCCATGGCTTCGAAGGCCCAGGAACGATCGAAGAAGAATCAGCGAGCGAAGAACGGTATAAAATAAACTTGTTCGCCTTCGGGGACACCTGCCCCTGGGCGGCCGGAAAGTTTATACCCCTAGGGCGCCACCGTAAGGGTATAAACTTTCCAGCCGCCTTGGGGCAGGTGTCCCCGACGGCGAAAAAGTTTATGTTACACCGTTCTTCGCCCGTTACCAAAAAAAAAACATGCGTCAACGTAAATGTCCGGAGGTCCGCGCAGGGGGGCCCGGCGCCGATCCCAGAAGTCTCCGCGGAGCTCCAGAAGTGTATGCGTACAGTCGGCCCGCATTAGTAGGTCGACCCTGCCAGCTCAAGGGTACCCTTGTGTCCTGCGCCTCGCGGCACGTGCCTTCTTACACTCCTATGGCGATGTGGCCCTCGGAAGGGTCTTGTGTCCTCTCGCGTGCCCTGTCCAATCAAGGCCGACTGTGTGCAGTTGCCTCCTTGTTCTGCAGGAGGAAGGACCTGGCATCGCTCGGACGTGTGATTTTTTTCTCGGCGAGAACCATCGAGGAGCATGCTTGATCATTTGGCGGAAAAACCACGCACGAAACTCCCAAAAAACATAGGAAATGGAGGTCCGAGCGATGGCGAGAGGAGGAAGCACAAGCAAACGAGGCCGAACGCCAGTGCACGCCCGCCTCGCGGGGCTTGGGGCCGCCAGTGGTTGGCCCACTGGCGAACCACTCCTTGAGGCCCCGGCGCTGCACCAGGGAGTCCCTGGGGCCCGGGACTTCCCTCCCGCGGGGAGCCCCCCTCTCCCTCAGGGGAGGAGGAGGAGGAGGAGGAGGAGGAGGAGGAGGAGGAGAAGGAGGAAAAATATGGAGGAGGGAGGACCCCGTTGGTAGTCGAGGACATGAGGGGGCGGAAGTATTGCATTGCGTCGTGTATGTTCCGCGAGCCTACGCTCTCGAGGGTTCGTCCCGGCCTCACGGCCTCAGCCGGAGGCTTGCCCTTCAGGCCCATGCGTGCGCGCACGCGGATCCGCCGTCCGCTGTATGACGTGGAGGATCCGGGGGGGTTCTGGACCTCCCGCAGGTTTCCTTCTCCCCGTCGGACGGGGCTAGGGGGCTAGGACGAGGATTAATCCGGATCTAGAGCGTTCCGGAAAGCTCTCAGAGCGTTCCGGGACGCTCTGAGAAGGCTGCGGCGCCCGAGGCATCTTCCGGAGCCGCCAGATCTCAGAGATTTTCAAGTTATATTCACCCGATGTGATCCTCGTTTTGGCCTCGTCTTACCCCGCCCCTCGCCCGCCTGCGCCTCAATTCGCCACGGAGGAGTCCCGCCGTTTGCTCGACCGCCTGTTCAGCCCCCCCTCTCGCAACTTCCCCCCCCCGGGGCGCGCCGCCACGAGGAGCCGGCAGCACACGAGGCCACGATCGCGCCACGGCTGATGGCCATTTCCCACCACCACCACCAGATGCAGGAGGGGGAGGAGGAGGAGGAGGAGGGGGAGGAGGAGGGGGAGGAGGAGGAGGAGGAGGAGGAGGAGGAGGAGCAAGAGGAGGAGGAGGAGGAGGAGGAGGAGGAGGAGGAGGAGGAGGAGGTCCCCTCCCCATCCTTCTCCCCCGTCCTACCTATGGTAGTGGTGGTGGAAGATTGGCCCATCAACATCAGTGGTGGTTGCTTTCGGCGCTTCTCCGGGCAGACAAGATCGCCACCCGCCCGCATGCGTCGACACGCTGCCTGGCGTCCGCCCTCCTGCTCCTCCTCCTCCACCTCCTCCTCCTCCCCCTGCTCCTCTGCTCCCTCCTCAGCTATCCGCAGCAGGGCCCCTGGGAGCGCCTCCAGGGGCGCGAGAGTTCTCGGCACGGGTGAGGCGTTCTGCAAGACCCCCTCGTCCCATGCCGCGTGGCGAGTCGGTGGGGGATCGGGGTCACTGCGCGGCTTTGGGACTGGGGTCGTTCTCTCCCAGGGAGAGAGAGCCTCGGTAGACGGGCCTCCGAGGTCCCAGGGCCGTGCGGTGACGGGCCGCGCGGTGAGGCCCTTCGGGCATGCCGAGGGCACCACGCGGTCCGTCACCACACGTCCCCGGGGACCCAGAACCACACGCCCCGACGCACAAACAAAAAAACAAGGCGTAGAGTTGGCTCCAGGCCCAACCTCGGCAGCAGCCTCTCGAGCCTCGCCGAGCGCCGGCCCGCGCCCGCGTGCCCGCGCCGGGGGACACCCGCGGCGGCCCCGAAGGATGCAGGTGCAGGCGCAGGTGCCCCTCGGCGTGCGGCCAGGCCAGACGTTCACGCTGCAGACCTCGCACGGCCTCGTGCCGGTGGTGGTGCTCGAAGACGAAGAAGAAGAAGAAGAAGAAGAAGACGAAGAAGAAGAAGAAGAAGAAGAAGGAGGAGGAGAAGAAGAAGGAGGAGGAGGAGGAGCAGAAGAAGAAGGAGAATAGTGAGGAAAAGCACAAGAAACAAAACACACAAAAGACGCAGTACATTAAAGTATTGGCGTTCCGCGCGGATTTCTTGGATCCAAACTGGGCCCCCCCCCCAGCGGCGCATCTGGCGCCACCCCTGGCGCGCTCCGCGCGCCAGGGAGGGGGGCCCAGCGCAGATCCAAGAATTCCGCGCGGAGCGCCAAAAGTTTATGCTCATGCCGTTTTTCTTCTTCCAGGTGCCTCCCGGCGCTTCCCCCGGGCAGCAGGTGGTCTTCACGGTGCCCGCGCACCCCGCCGCTGTCGTGGGCAACCCAGTGGTGCATGGCAGCGTGGCGGGCTCGGCGCCGCCGCCGCAGCTGGGGATGGCCGAGGCGGGCAGCGGTGCATCCGCGCCCAAGGGCTACCGCGCGGATCCGCTGACCGCCACGGCGGACGGGCTGCCCCTGCTGGCGGGCATCCCCGTGGAGAAGCAGGAGCAGAAGCTGAGCGAGATCCGCCGCGGTGGCGAGCTCGTGCGGGATAATGCGCCGTTTCCCGCGCGGCGCACGTACCGCGACGCGGTCTGGGGCGTCCTCTTCGTGGCCTTGGCCATGGCCATGACCGTCGGAGCGGTGTATTTCGGCAGGTCCCTGTCCAGCGATGCACAGGTGGACCTGTCGAGCGAGGACGCTGAGTGGATCGCCAACACCGTGTACGCCGGCTTGGCCGGTGGAGTGGCCTCGCTCGGGGCAGCCATGGCGTACGTGTGGCTGGCGAGCACCGCACCCGCGTGCATCGTTTGGACGTCTCTGTTGTTCAGTCCGGTGTTGATGATCGTGAGCGGCCTGGTGTTCTTGGTGGCGGTATCGGCGGTTGCGGGCCTCATTTTGATCATTCTGGGCATGCTGTGCCTCAGTTGCGTCTTCTTCTGCTACCGCCCGCTGATCCCGTTCATGATAAAGATCGTGGAGGTGGTGTCCAGTGTGATCCGAATTCACCCCTGCGTCATGGCCGTGTCCTTGATAGGCTCGGTTGCTGGCATCGTCTGGACTGCCATCTGCATGATCACGTTCACGGGTGCATATCTGGAGTTCAAGAACGAGGCGGAGGACTTAACTTCCACGGCGCAGTACGTCCTGTACTTCTTCGCAGTCCTGATCTTCATCGTTGGCGGGCAGGTCGCGTATTACGTCTGTCACGTGACGTATTGTGGCGTGTTCGGTCGTTGGTACTTCGGGGTGGACAGGGAGGGCGGCGTGCTGGGGAGGAGCCTGAGTGTGGCCCTGACCACCTCCTTCGGCAGCATCTGCTGCGGGTCCTTCCTCATTGCTGCGGTCCGGGCCCTCGAGGCGGTCCTCCGGAAGGGCAGGTCGGACGCGCAGGACTCCGGCAACGTGGTCTGCTGCGTCGTCCTCTGCTTGCTGGAGTGCGTCATCTCGTGCATCGGGGACCTCCTCGAGTACTTCAGCGAGTGGGCGTACGTGCAGGCCGCCGTGCGCGGCACCTCGCTCGTCGAGTCCGCGCGCATCACCCACAGCCTGATGACGTGCGCGAACCTGCTGTACGTGGTGCAGGACCTCCTCGTCAACGCCGTGGTCAACCTCGGGGCGGTGCTCTGCGGCCTCGTCGGGGGCGGCGTGGGGGCCGCCGTGGGCTTCGCCGCCTCCGGGGCGGACGCCGCGCTGTCGGGCGGCATCGCGGGCCTCCTGGCGGGCCTGCTGGCGGGCGGCGCCGCCGCGGGCATCATCTCCTCCGGGACGAAGGCCATCCTGGTGCTGTGGGCCGAGAACCCCGCCCCGCTGGAGGCGTCGCACCCGGACGCCCACCGGGAGCTCGAGGCCAGGATCTACGGCAAGTTGGGCCAGTAGGCGCCCGCGCCGCGCAGGCCTCGGCGCACGGTCGCGTTTGCTCGAGCGAATTGGGCATGCTCCAGAAGAGAGCGCCCCGGCCAGAAGGGCAGGGCAACACATGCCGAGGGGGTTACCGCATCTGCTTGGGCGCCAGCGCCGTCCTTGTGACCCTGGCATTGGCCTTCTTCGGTGGCTTTACAGTTCCTCCACCGCCGCAGTCGGCTTCTGCGGCGCGGCTCGGGTCTACAGCGGCCGCGCAGCCCCCAGCAACAGGACGGGAGTGGCGCGGCCGTCCGCGCCGCCTCCTTGGTATCATTACGCGCTGCCACGGGTAGCAGGCAGGGGCCCTTCCCGGGCGGAAGACGCAGCAGTCGGATGTGCCATGCAGGATGGCCCGCCTGATCGCCTGCCAAACAAAAAACAAACAAACAACAACAACAAAACAAATTATAGCCGGAGTGCAGTATCCCCAAACAGGGTTTTTAGACCCACTGCGGTTTCCAAGGTCGATTGCGTGCCCGCCTAGTGCGGGCTGGCATGGCATGTTAAAACATGCCTCCTCCTCCTCCTCCTCCTCCTCCTCGTCCACCTCCTCTTCATCCCGAAAGGCATCTCGGAACCCAGAGTTGCGAGGATGTCTCCAGCGTAACGGGCTGGACCACCTCGCGCGCGGCATTTCGGACCCCAGAGTTGCGACGATGTATCGGGCGAAACGTGCTGCGAGGAAGTCTCAGGCGAAACGGGCCGGACCACCTCGAGCGCGGCGTCTCAGAGCTCCGAGTTGCGGGGGCCTTCTGGTGCCTCCTGGGGCCTCCTGGGGACCTCCTGGAGCTTCCTCCTGGGCCTCCTGTGGCCTAATGTGAAATCCACTGAGGTTCTGAAGCTCTTGGGGCCCGCGGGGGGATATCTAAACCTGTGGCCGTTGGGCCTCTCCAAAAACAAATACAGGGGGGGGGGGGCCACACCAACAAGGAAGCAGGAAAAAAATCAACGAATCGACACCGGGATGTGTTATTTAACTTGGACAACGCCGCGTTCTGATTTATGAGGGCCTATGGGGACTACTGGGAGCCTCTTGATCTCGGCGGCCCCTGGGGACTGTACTGGGCGTCCTGCGGATACTGAAGCTTCTGGGTACCTCCCCTCCTCCTGGCCTGCTACCTCATGCAAAATCATCCGCCTCCTCCTTCTCCCTTCCATCTCCTCCTTCTCCCTTCCATCTCCTCCTCCTCCTCCTCCTCCTCCTCCTCCTCCTCCACCTCCTCTTCATCGCGAACGGCATTTCGGAGCCTAGAGTTGCGAGGATGTCTCCAGCGTAACGGGCTGGACCACCTCGCGCGCGGCATCTCGGACCCCAGAGTTGCGACGATTTCTCGGGCGAAACGTGCTGCGAGGAAGTCTCAGGCGAAACGGGCTGGACCACCTCGAGCGCGGCGTCTCAGAGCTCCGAGTTGCGGGGGGCCTCCTGGTGCCTCCTGGGGCCTCCTGGGGACCTCCTGGAGCTTCCTCCTGGGCCTCCTGTGGCCTCGTGAACTCCACCTGGGGTTTCCTGAAGCCTCTTGGGGCTCCCAGGGGGGATATCTAACCTGTGGCCGCTTGGGCCCCTCAAAATGGAGGGGGGGGGCACAAGAGCAGGAAAAATCAACGAATCGACACCGGATGTGTATTAACTTGACACGTTCTGATAAGCGGCCTCCTGGGGCCTCCTGGGAGCCTCCTGGGAATCTCCTGGAGACCCCTGGGGCCTATCCTGGGCGTCCTGCGGCCTCCTGATGCCTCCTGGGCCTCCTGGGGACCTCCTGGAGCTTCCTCCTGGGCCTCCTGTGGCCTCCTGAACTCCACCTGAGGTTTCCTGAAGCATCTTGGGGCTCCCAGGGGGGATATCTAACCTGTGGCCGCTTGGGCCTCTCCAAATGGAGGGGGGGGGGGCACAAGAGCAGGAAAAATCAACGAATCGACACCGGATGTGTATTAACTTGACACGTTCTGATAGAGGGCCTCCTGGGGCCTCCAGGGAATCTCCTGGGGGCCCCTGGGGCCTGTCCTGGGCGTCCTGCGGCCTCCTGGACCTCTCTGGGGCCTCCTGAGGCTCGCAGGGTCCCATGGAGGATATGTAACATGTGGCCTTCTGGGCCCCCAGGCTGGACCACCTCTTGCGCAGCATCTGAGAGCTCAGAGTTGCGAGAATATCCTGTGCGAAACAGGCCGGACCACCTTGCGCACGGCATCTCAGATCTCAGAGTTGCAAGGATTTCTCAGGCGAGACGGGCCGGACCACCTCGCGCAGGGCATCTCAGAGCTCAGAAGTTCGAGGATGTCTCAGGCGAAACGGGCCGGACCACCTCGCGCGCGGCATCGGGGAGATCAGAGCTTCGAGGATGTCTCAGGCGAAACGGGCCGGACCACCTCGCGCGCGGCATCTTGGAGCTCAGAGTTGCGAGGATGTCTTAGGCGAAACGGCCCGGACCACCTCTCGCGCGGCATCTGGGAGCTCAGAGTTTCGAGGATGTCTCAAGCGAAACGGCCCGGACCACTCTCGCGCGGCCTCTCAGAGCTCAGATTTAGGAGGATGTCTCAGGCGAAACGCTCAATCCTGGACAACTCAGAAACGAGAGTTGTGAGGATGTCTCAGGCGAAACGGGCCGGACCACCACATTTGTTTGAGGATGTCTCTGCTTAGCTTTCCCTCGGCCGGAATTAGCTTCTATCACAACAGCACCCCGTTCAGCAAGCTGTTTAAGGAAAAAAAAGAGGGAGCGGCAGCAGCAGCAGCAGGAAGGCCAGCAGCAGCAGCGGGAAGAGGAACAAATGGGAAGCAGCAGCAGGAAAGGAGAAGAGAAGGAGTCGTCGAAATTGGCACGCCCGTTCGTCGCGCGCCCCATAGCGCACTGGACATGGTTCTCGGGGGAAACTCGCCAGCCCAACGGGCCAGAGGCGTGCGAAGATCTCCGGCGACTGCCTCACAGCATTTCTACTTCGCGCGCGCGGGACGGCCCAGAGGGGCGGGCCCACGGGCGCAGGGTGGCCCGGCCAGGTCGGGCCAGAGATGGTTTTTCTCCTGGGCGCGGCTTTCAGGCGCCCCAAAGCGATCCAAAAGGGCACCGAAGGGCGCCCGAGACGGTCCAAGAGGGCCCCGAGTCGTCGAACGATCGGGCCGCGACACCCACGATGGCTTCCAGACGGCTCACGACGCACACAAGACCCCCGAAGAGGCCACCGCGAGGTGAAACGATACCCGAAAACGCGATTCGGAACTTCAAGGAGAAGTGGTAGCAGATAGACGAAGCGGAAACAGACTGGGGGCGACGCCGCTCGAATGACGCGTCGAAGCGAGATTGCGCGCAAACCGCGTGCCGAATGCCCAATATCGGAGCGGGTCGGCGACGCGACAACTTTTGAACAACGAAAAACAACAAAAACTTGGAAATCTCATATTTTTGGTTCGGGAAAACACAAAATCGTTGCGCCAATCCGCTTGGGGGACGAAGCTTCATGAAAAAATCGTTCCCGGACCATTTGTTGTATACTATGTTTAAACATTCCTGCTGTAGAGGGACCGCCGTTAGCCTAGCGTGAGACACGGCAGGGAGGGCATGGCATCCAGCAGCGACGACCCGAAAACTCTTCCGAACGGCGGGCCTGCAGGATGTACCGCGGTTGCCCAAGAGCGACGCATTAACCCTGTTGGACATCGACCATACCGTACCTTCGCGGGCGGATTACCACAAGAGCGATGGCCTCTGTGCATGCTGATGGTAATGATAACGAATATGGTAATGATGGTGATGATGATGCTGCTGCTGATGATGATGATGTTGATGATGATTCTGATGACGATGATATCGGGCGCCGCGCATGCTCTGGGGCATTTTAAAGAGGAGGAGGAGGAGTGCCGAACGTGGCAATCCCTGTTCGACTCGGCGAGGCAGCAGCTGCAATGCGAATCGCAAGGTCGCCAGGCAAACCAAGAAAGCTACGTGAGCAAGCCTGCCACAGGGAGGTATGCAGCATACCGTAGCCTCCGAGAAAACGACGGCACTGCAAGCAACTACCCTCCCCCTGGCCCTGAACGGCCAGCGATGTCGCACATGCTTGGGTCGAGTCCGACGCCCGGCCGCCAGCGAGAAGGCGACAGGAGCAGAGCACGGACTGGGGGAGCAGGGGGGGTGGCGGGGAGTGCGGTAAATAATGACCCCCACCGCAGCAACGTGGCCAGTCCACACCGCCTGGCGTGGAGGTGCCCGTGCCGTCCGTCGGAGCGGACGCGGCCAGGCAGCCCGGGAGACAGAGGAGGATAAGAGGGGGAGAGAAGAGGAGGGGGACGAGGCAGGAGCAGGGAGGAGCAGGCTGGAGCGCACAGGCCCAGGCTGATGCAGAAGGCAACAGTCCCAGAGATCCAACGTCGTGATTTTTTCAATACGGGGTCCCCGGAAATCTCGACCCCTTCCCCAGGACCCGTTTTTCATCCTGAGTTGTTTTTGACGGTCCTGGGGCCCGGCGCGGGCCCCTATGGGCCGAAAATGGCGAAAAGCCTCCGTCGTCATTTTCTCAATACGTTCGATCTCTGGGGTTGACGGCTCCTGGTATATCGGCCCCGCGAGCACTGCGTCGGGCACCGGCGCCGCCTCCGTGCGGGCACCGCTCTGGAGCGACAGCCCGGGCGGCGAAGGCCAGCGGCCCCTCTGCTCGTCGGCGGAGACAACAGGGGCGTATAGCCCAGGGGGGCGGGCATTGCACGCATTCGCCCGGGAGCCTTTTCGAAGACACATATCATCGGCGCAGCTGAATACATGTATGGGCGGTGGACACACCTCCCTTTAGCAAACCTCCCCGTAAAGAAAACGGCCTGGGACCGAAACCGACGGACCTGGACCCGCAAAAATGACGGCCGCGACGCCTCCTCGCGAACCGAAAAGGGCCAGTTCGATCATCGACGTGTCAGGGTAGGAGGTCTGTCCACTCCCGAGTGTATTGCTCTCCATAAGGGGCGGGCATTACACGTATGCGCCTCGGCGACT